AGAAAGACCTTACACAAAGGTCTGATACGAGTGAGGGAGAGACTGAGGTGGATGATGTGGCGAGCGTGTACAGTACACGCGCCTCGCCCAGCCTGCCTCACCACCCTGGGTCAACACCGTTATCATCACCACCACCATGTATGTCTCCAGACACAAGTTTATTCAGTGACAGTACATGCGATGAATCTTTCTCGGGTTTCAGTGACATAGGCTCCGATACGAGTAGTGTGGACGACCCGAGTACGAGCAGCGAGGGTGTTACCAGGCGGGGTTTTGCTGCCCCAGCAACATGTCGCGGCAGGTGGCAGCGTGTCTCACAGCATTTGGGCAATGTCAACAGTGGTCCCTCAACATCAGGTGTTCGTGGTAGGCCTACGGTACGTAAATCTGCCTCATCGCCTAGCATACCCTCACACAGCTCCAGCAACAGATGACGTAACCGTGGTTTTGGTGCTCGTGGTGGTGTTGGCTGTGGTGTTGGTGCCAACACCAAACCCCCGGGAGTACTTGTGTGGGAGGATTGCGCCACATTTGTCCCTCAAATACCAACGTTTGATGATACCGATGTTGGTGTTAAACCATTATTCCCATATACCAGTGGTGATATGGCAGAAATGGAATATTTCCAGGCATATTTCAACAACGTATTCATGACGCATCTTGTGACTGAGACAAGCCTCATAGCCGCCGCATTTTACCTGCCTTACGCAATGGAAGGACACAACAATTGACAAAATGTACGTGTTTCTGGCACTCAAGATGATGATGAAGCAGGTGTGACAATATGCTGTCAGTGCGGTGAGGTGAATATGCTGACTACGATTCACACCAGTGCCATGTTGGACAGTGGGGAAAGTTCACTTTTAGACGCGCTTCCCCATGTATAAACCAGACTGTGTCATAGACTATAACGTGAACATGCGCCTCGTCGATAAATGTGACATGATGCTTGGTGCAGTGGAGTGCATCATGCGTAAGTCTGTGAAGTGGATGAAAAAGTTCTTCTTCCACCTAATAGATGTTGCAGTGCTCAACTGCTTCAATACGTAACTGGTAAAATCTGGCAGGAGACCGTCAATATGTACATTCAGTGCTGATGTTGTGTCACACCTGCTTGTAAAGTATGGCAAGGAGGGCTCCATTGCACCGCGCGGGGTGCAAGCAACAATGCCACATGCAGCTCCAGACAGACTGAGGGTAACGAGAACTTCGGATTACACATGCTTGAGTATATGTCAGGCACAGAATCATGGCAGAAGGGTAAACGTGCGTGTATAGTATGCCGAAACACTACCCGTGGAAAACAAAAGCGAAGATGCATCAGCACCTGTAATCAGAGGCAATGTATCGGACTGGAGAAATGTCACAAGTGGAGTACCACAGGGTTTAGTTCTTGCACCAGTGATGTTTATTGTCTACATAAATGATCTACCAGTTGGTATACAGAATTATATGAACATGTTTGCTGATGATGCTACGATAATAGGAAGGATAAGAAACTTAGATGATTGTCATGCCCTTCAAGATGACCTGGACAAAATATGTATATGGAGCACCACTTGGCAAATGGAATTTGCCAAGTGGTTGGAACAAGTTAAGCGAGAAGGTGGTGGAGGCCAAGACCGTCAGTAGTTTCAAAGCGTTAAATGACAAAGAGTGCTGGGAAGACGGGACACCACGAGCGTAGCTCTCATCCTGTAACTACACTTGGTAATTACCTGGTATAATTACCTAAGTGTAGTTACAGGATGAGAGCTACACTCGTGGTGTCCCGTCTTCCCAGCACTCTGTCATATAACGCTTTGAAACAACTGACGGTCTTGGCCTCCACCACCTTCTCACTTAACTTGTTCCAACCGTCTACCACTCTATTTGCGAAGGTGAATTTTCTTATATTCAGCATCAGAATGTGCATCTGATGCTGAGCTCAGATGCACATTCTCTCAGAACCCATGGTGAAACGCCATCTGGGCCAGCTGCTTTGTTCTTACCGAGCTCCTTGAGCATTTTTTCCACTTCGTCTCTAGACACCTCTATGTGCTCTATGTTGTTCTCTGGAATTCTTATTGTATCTGGTTCCCTAAAGATTTCATTTTGTACAAACACACTTTGGAACTTTTCGTTTAGTGCTTCACACATTTCCTTTTCATCTTCCGTGAATCTATTTCCCATTTTCAACCTCTGAATATTATCCTTTACCTGCAATTTGTTATTTATGAATTTATAGAATAGACCTGGTTCTGTTTTACATTTGTCTGCAATCCCTTTTTCAAAATTTCTTTCTGCTTCTCTCCTCACTGCCGTGTAGTTGTTTCTCGCATCTTTGTATCGCTGGTATGTTTGGGGGTTCGGCCTCTTCCTGTATTGATTCCATTTTTGTGTCTTTTGGTCTCTAGCCCTCTCGCAATTTCTATTGAACCAATCCTGTTTCCTAGTTCTGCATCTCTGTTTTGGTATAAATTTTTTTGTGCCTTTATCATATATTTCACAAAACTTGACATACATCTCATTCACTTCCTTGCCTAGCATCAAGTCTGTCCAATTATACTCACTAAAAAAATTTCTAAGGTCACCATAATGTCCTCTCCTGAAGTCTGGTTTTTCAACTGCTTCAACCTCCTTATTTTCTTCCAGCTTATAACGCATTGCATACTTTATTCCCAAAAATACATGGTCACTTTTACCCAAGGGAGGAAGGTACTGAATGTCAAATATCTCTTCCTCCTTCCTGGTAAATATCAAATCTAGCATGGAGGGAACGTCCCCTTCCCTCATCCTCGTAGCTTGTTTAACATGTTGATACAAGAATGTTTCCAGGATGAGGTCTAAAAATTTACAGGTCCAAAAATCTTCTGTTTTAGCTTCATATGCTTCCTAGTCTATGGATTTCAAGTTGAAGTCACCGACTATCAACAGTCATGATCTATCGTTATCCGCTCTCGCTATAATCTCTCTCATTATTGTTATAAGACCTTCACGTTTACTATCTAGCTCCTCCTTTGACCATGTGCTGCTTGGCGGTGGACTATATGCATTTATTATCATTAGTTTATCATCCTCATGGCAGATCTCTAGTGCTATTATGTCAACTTCTTGTGGATTGGCAGTCATTATTTCGTTCACCTTTAGGTGTTCTTTTACCAGCACAGCAACGCCACCACCTTTCCTAATTTTTCTGTCCCGTCTCCAAATTGAGTAGCCCCTTGGGAATATGACCTCATTTAAAATTACATCTTCAAGTTTTGTCTCCGTGAGTGCAACAATGTCTGGTGTCTGCAGCTGTATTACATCACTTAACTCCAGTATCTTCGATCTCACTCCATCTATGTTGGTGTATGCAATCTTCAGGAACTTGTTCCCCCTCTCCTTATTCTTCACTCCCCCTCTCTATTGATTTTGTTGGTTTGCCTTTATGTACCACTTTACTGGTTTGCCTACCCCTATCACTTTGTAGTCTTTATACTTAAAGACTACATTATATACTTATTTATACTACAAATATACTTATTTGGTGTGTGGAGCGCAAGGTGCCACTCTGCCTTGTTGGCTGTTTCGCATCATATCACACACTCACAGAGTACCGAGTGTGTTTATGGTGTATGTATATAGTGTGTATATAGACTTTAAATATAAATATATTAGCATGATAAATTGGAAATACATGCAGGATAAGTGAACATTTTTGTGATGCACGTAACAGTGTCTACGAACATTACGGATGTTCTACTGCCATAATATAGTGTATGTGTTCATTATACATAGGATTGGTATGTAAAAACAAATAAATTGTATTTGGAACTGTGCCCAAAAAATTAACAAAAATATATTCGTGGCAGCGCGCGCATCCTGCCTTGGGCGCCCTACTGGCCGCGGGAGCGTACGCCACAGGGGAACGGGGAATGATGACGTCATGCGCCAACTTACGGACCCCATAGCAGCCAAAGTAAGTACAATTTCAACTTTCCGTTACTATACCCATACTCAGGGAAGGGTTTTTGACACTTTCAAAACAATAAAGAATTTTTTCCAGAGAATTTATTTCATGTCATAGCTCAGTTGATTAAGGCAGCGTCTGGGATGCTCTCAGACGCAGGTTCGAATCCTCATCACGGCCCTTGTGGATTTGTTCATATCTTGGATAAGTCGCTCTACAACATTGTCACTTGGATCGTCGATTTTTTATGGCGTCATCTGCCACTTAGTTTCGTCTAATTTTGTTATAAAATTATATTACTTCATTGTAAAAATGTTTTTTCATGTTCTAAATTAAGCACCAACATTATAGTGAGTATATATATCATATTTCTTCATTACTTACGTAATGCTTGGAAGCTTTGAGTAGCTTTGGGTAATTAGACTGACCACTAGACAACAGTACTGTATGTTGAGTTTGGGGGCTAATTTATGGAAGGTGCCAGGACTAGCCTATCAGTGGGTTCCATATTAAGGTCATTCTTGTATTCATAAGCAAGCCCCCACTTATAACATTGATCTGGAGAAAGTGCAACTAGGCAACAAAAATCTCTCCAGAACTAAGTCGACTCCCATACCAGGATTGGTTGAGGGCCACAAGGATAACAATATTTGCAGGCGATGAGTCACAATAACGTGGCTAAATTAAGTTGACCAGACCACACACTAGAAGGTGAAGGGATGACAATGTTTCGGTCCATCCTGGACCATTCTCAAGTCGATTCAATCGACTTGAGAATGGTCCAGGATGGACCGAAACGTTGTCGTCCCTTCACCTTCTAGTGTGTGGTCTGGTCAATAACAACATTTTCTTCAAAAGGTCAGATGTACCACAAACAAAAAGCAACAGTTTCAAGCTCAACAAGCCACAATGTAGGACTGAGAACAGGAGATGCTTTTTCACCCACAGGATTATTAACACATGGAACCGCCTACCCGCCCAAGCCATAAATACCAAAACCCTTCTGAATTTTAAAATCCCGCTTGGAAAAAAACATCAGAACAAATGGGGGGAACCTTTAACATACCGCTGGCTTCCTGTCCTCGTCGAAGTCACTAGAATGTTAGTGTACCTCAGGTAAATTCAGGTAAATATAGTCTATCCACAGTTTTCATGAGTTGAATTGACACTAAGATGTGACGAGTTCTCAAGAGGACATTAATATCACTATTATTAATGTGCTATTACTCCCAGTGGTCGTGGCTGCCCAACCATTTACACACAACACTCGGTACAACTTGTCAACACCACTCGTCCCGGTATTGTTACCTGTATTGAGCTGAGAGTCGAGCTGTCCGTCAGCCACTACCACCAGCAGCAACACCATCCAAGTCAGCCACCATCAACAACAACATGGAGACGGGCTGCTAAGTCACCTACTAATAGCAGCAGCATCCAAGTCAGTCTCCACTAACAACAACATGGAGACGGGCTGCTAAGTCACCTACTAATAGCAGCAGCATCCAAGTCAGTCTCCACTAACAACAACATGGAGACGGGCTGCTAAGTCACCTACTAATAGCAGCAGCATCCAAGTCAGTCTCCACTAACAACAACACGGAGACGGGCTGCTAAGTCACCTACTAACAGCAGCAGCATCCAAGTCAGTCTCCACTAACAACAACATGGAGACGGGCTGCTAAGTCAGCTACTAACAGCAGCAGCATCCAAGTCAGTCTCCACTAACAACAACATGGAGACGGGCTGCTAAGTCAGCTACTAACAGCACCAGCATCCAAGTCAGTCTCCACTAACAACAACATGGAGACGGGCTGCTAAGTCAGCTACTAACAGCAGCAGCATCCAAGTCAGTCTCCACTAACAACAACATGGAGATGGGCTGCTAAGTCAGCTACTAACGGCAGCAGCATCCAAGTCAGTCTCCGCTAACAACAACATGGAAACAGGCTGTTGTTGTGTTGATTTAGGGGCGACGACAATCGTGGGCTCGGAAACAGGCTGTTAAGTCACCTACTAACAGCAACAGCATCCAAGTCAGCCACTACCTACAACAACATGGAGACGGGCTGCCAAATCACCTACTAACAGCAACAACATCCAAGTCAACCACCACCACCAGTAGCAACACCATCCAAGTCAGCCACAACCAAAATAACATGGAGACGGGCTGCTAAGTCACCTACTAACAGCAGCAGCATCCAAGTCAGCCACTACCTACAACAACATGGAGATAGGCTGCTAAGTCACCTATAAATAAATATATATTTTTTTTATTCAGGTAAGGTACATACATACAAGGTAAAATACAAAGTTGATGGATTTATAGATAGAGCTAGTACATACAATGCCTAAAGCCACTATTACCCAAAGCATTTCGGGCATAAAAAACTTAAATGACTAAAGCTTAATACTAATTGAGCATAAAGAGTAAAATGAAAACATGGAATGAAAACAAAGCTGAAAAAGCAGCACAAATACAATTCTGTCGACAAACAGCGCTCTTTAAAAAAAACAGACATTGGTTGACATTAGAGGGGTAAGGTAGGTTACAGGGAATTTATTAGGTATAGCTTCGTTTTTATCTTAAACTGGTTGAGAGAGGTACAGTCTTTAACATGGTTGGGAAGGTCATTCCACAATCTGGGTCCCTTGATTTGTAGAGCATTTCTAGTTTGATTAAGTCGTACTCTAGGAATATCAAAACTGATCCAGTGGTCACGGGTTCGATTCCTGGTGCTGGTGAGAAACAATGGACAGAGTTTCTTTCACCCTGATGCCCCTGATACCTAGCAGTAAATAGGTACCTGGGAGTTAGTCAGCTTCCATGGGCTGCTTCCTGGGGTGTGTGTGTGGTGTGGAGGAAAAATAAAAATAAAAATAGTAGTTAGTGACAGCTGAGAGGCGGGCCGAAAGAGCTGAGCTCAACCCCCGCAAGCACACCTAGGTGAACACACAACACAAGAATAACAATCCCCAACCCCAACCATTAGTTCACTTCCAATCCAATTACCTCCTTCCCCCCTTCCACATGCTCCTCTTCCCCATTCCATGCCCTAATTGACCCCCATCCCCACACCCTCTCAGCTATACCACCCTAGACCCTCCTAGCTTCCCCATACGGAATCCTCCCAACCCCCTCTCTCCCCAGATCGATCCCCGTCCACCTTCATAAGCTCTTCCACCCCGGACACCCCTTGTCCCCTTACTCCATTGGAATCAACAGAAATCGAGGATGGAAAGATGAGAGTCAGTTTCAAGGTAATCTACTCGAACATAAATGGGATTACAAGCAAGGCAAGTGAACTTAGGGAAAGAGCACAAGAAGAGAACCCAAATGTAATATGACTCACTGAAACAAAACTCTCAGGAATCATAATGAATGTGTTGTTTCCCCAGGACTACACTGTAATAAGGAAAGAGAGGGAAGGAAGGGGAGGAGGGGGAGTGGCCCTACTGATAAGAAAGGCATGGAGTTTCGAGAATATGGTTATCCCCAGGCTGCGAGGGGTTCAGAGACTACATTACAGGCACCATGGCGATGGGAGGACCAAGGGTAGTAGTAGTAGCAGTGATATGTAATCTTTCGCCAAGCAATAGAAGACCCAGACAGAAGTATGACAGAAACAACAGGGCAGTTGACACTATAACTGAGAGAGCAGCCACTGCTGCCTGTAGAAATAGATCCCATCTGCTCATCATAGGGGGACTTCAGTCATGGAAGAATAGACTGGGGAAATAAGGAACAGCAAGAAGGTGAGGAAACATGGAGAGTTAAACTGCTGGAAGTGGTGACAAGAAACCTTTAAAGTCAGCATGTCAGGGGACACACAAGAATGAAAGGCAACGATGAACTAGCGAGACTTGACCTAGTCTTCACTCTGAATGACTCCGACATAAGGGAAATCGGTTTCGAAGCCTCCGTGAGAATGAGTGATCACAGTGTACTGATGTCTGAGTATTTAGTCAAAGTAGGGTTAATGTACCCAAGGAAGGGTCCAGAAAACAAAAGGCTAGCATTCCGAAAAGGAAACTATGAGGAGATAATAAAATTCCTAACAGATATAACTTGGGAAACAGAGGTCAGAGGAAAGACGGCCCAAAACTTGATGGAATACATCACGCAGAAGTGTAAGGAGGCAGCAGACAAGTTCTTTCCAGTCCAAAAGGAAAAACGTAAAATACAGACGATAAGCCCATGGTGTAATGAACTAAATGCAGGGGGTGTAGATACCATAGTAATAACAGTACACTAAAGGGCAGAGAAAGATTCCAGAGCACCAGGAATCAATATGTCAGGGTGAGAAGAGTGGCAGAAAGACAATTTGGAAATGACATCGCAAGCAAGGCAAAGATTCAACCTAAATTGCTGCACAACCACCTCAGGAGAAAAACAACAATGAAGGAACAGGTAATGAAACTGAGAATATGGGCACATAGATTCACTACAAACGACAAAGAAGTGTGTGAGGAACTCAATAAGAAATTCCAGGATTTCTTCTTAGTAGAGCAAGGGGAAAGTCCCACAGATAAGAGATGGAATATCTAACCAAACATCACTAGATAAGTTTGTGATTATCAGTGGGGAGGTGAGGAAACATCTGCTAGAGTTGGATGTGACTTAGGCAATAGGCCCAGATGGAATCTCACCATGGATACTGAAGGAAGAAGCAGAAGCTCCGTGCCTGCCACTCTCCATTGTGTAAAACAAATCACTGGTAACAGGTGAATTGACAAAAATTTGGAAGACGGCTATTGTCGTCCCGATATTCAAGAAGGGTGATAGACAGTAGGCACTGAACTACAGGCCAGTGTCCCTTACATGCATACCATGCAAGATGATGGAGAAGGTTGTGCAAGAAAAGCTAGTGGAACATCTGGAGCGAAATAACTTTGTATCAAAACATCAACATAGGTTCAGGGATAGCAAATCATGCCTCACAGGATTAATTGAGTTCTATGAACAGGGAACAAAATCAGGCAATAAAGAGAGCTGAACAGACTGCATATTTTTGGATTGGCAGAAAGCCTTTGACACAGTACCACATAAGAGATTGGTGCACAACCTAGAGATGCAGGCAGGAGTGAAAGGAAAGGGATTCCACTGGGTAGTAGTAGTAGTAGGCATCCATCAGTCTCAGGAAAGCGGCACGATTAGGTAATCCCTTACCCTTGCTTGGGTAAGGGATTACCTAAGCAACAGAAGACAGTGAGTCACTGAGAGGGGTGATGTCTTGGAGTTGCGAGGCGTCTCCAGTGGAGTTCCTCATCATTCCTTGGGCTTATACTGTTTCTGATATATGTAAATGATCTCCCAGAGGGAATAGACTCGTTCCTCTCAGTGTTTGCTGTTGATGCAAAAGTCATGAAGATTAAGACAGGAAGATAATATGAGGCTACAAGATGACCTAGACAAACTGAAGGAATGGTCCAACAAATGGCTACTAAAGCTCAGGCCAAGTAAATGTAAGGAAATGAAACTAGGTGGAGGAAATAGGAGGCCAGACAATGAAAACCGAATGGGAGATGGAGTCCTTCACGGAACGGACAGAGAGAAAGGTCTACGAGTTGATATCACGCCAAATCTGTCTCCTGAAGCCCACATCAAAAGAATAACATCGGCGGCGTATGGGAGGCTGGCTAACATGAGAACTGCCTTCAGAAACCTGTGCAAAAAATCCTTCAGAACCTTGTATACCACATATGTAAGGAATATCCTGGAGTATGCGACCCCCAGTATGGAGACCTTACCGTATCAAGCAGAAGACGAAGCTGGAAAAAGTTGAGAGATATGCCACTAGGCTAGTCCCAGAACTAAGAGGCATGACGTACGAGGAAAGGCTGTGTGAACTGCACCTCACGTCGCTGGAAGACAGAAGAGCTCCGGGAGATATGATCACCACATACAATACAACAATACAATACAATTTTACAATACAATTTTATTTAGGTAAGGTACATACATACAATAAATATTTACAAGGATTGTTTACTTATAGGTATAGCTAGTACATACAATGCCTAAAGCCACTATTACGCAAAGCGTTTCGGGCATGATAAACTTAAATGACAAGCTTAATACTAATTGAGCATAATGAGTAGAATGAAAACAAGAAATGAAAACATAGATGAAAAAGCAGCACAAATACAATTATGTCGACAAACAGCGCTCTTTAAAGAAAAAAACAGACATTGGTTGACAATAGAAGGGTAAGGTAGGTTACAGGGAATTTATTAGGTATAGCTTCGCTTTTAACTTAAACTGGTTGAGAGAGGTACAGTCTTTAACAT